TAGAAGCTTTATTATTTTTTTATTGTTGTAGCATTGTGACACGAACAACGAATTTTTTTGTTTGGAGCTGAGGGCCCACGGGCTACTGCATGCATACGCACCGCCATCATGGGCAACTTGGGGGGGTGCAGTGTCTGTGCCCAGGGACACTACGACATGTGGACTGCAGGCACCGAGCTTCGAACCTTAAAATTCGACAAACTATGGTGTGGTGACCAGACTCCAGTCCCCACAAGTGACTTCCGGTCCCCATGAGGATAGTAACTCAGAGATTTCAGGCCACACAAGTATAGAAAAACAAGGTCTTTAACACACAATTCATTCCCAACAAATAACGTTCAAAGCGCTATAGAGTACATTATATATTGTGCAGTGTATGTATTCAAACATCATCCAGTGTGTATGTGGCGCATGTTGATGCATCTCAGTGTATCCGAGTTTAAAAACCTTCCAGTTTTATCAGATCTGAAGCTCAAAGCTGCATTAATGCACAGTGGTCTCTGTGTCTCTGCAGATGTCATGAGCTGAATTTTAAAATTCGTTTTCCTTCGCCTGTGAGATGGGTTCATCTGCAGCCTCTCAGCTCTTCTTCTCTTCTTCTTCGTCCGCTCGTTCTGTTCATAACTTGCTGCCTCACCCCCTCTGACTCGTATTTACCAGGGGCTGCAGAGTGGTGAGGGTTCAGCCTAACAGCAGGCCTCACAGTAAATCCATACTGCCCTCAGAAAACTCGATTAGTGCCAGCTGCAGCCTGGGCTTTTCTTGTTAAAGGAAAACAGTTTGTTTTTCCATCTCATGTGGTTTAATAAGTTAATGTTTGCAGTAAACAAAGAGCAGACACCTGCAGATCAATCTGGCACCAGCTGACCCCTGGATGTGAGTTAATGTGAGGAGAAAGGTGGTGAGTGGAATGATTGGTGAGGAGCGATGGAGGCAGCTCTGCACTTTGCATTTAAAGGGTTTAAATCGTTTACAAGTCGCAGCCTCTTCAGGTCCAATCAATCAAAGGTTTGCTTCACTCACAAGCTGATTCTATTGTATTCCTCAGTCGACAGCCGTCAAAACCAGTCCATTTGTTTGAATGGCGAGAAAACAGAAAGGAAAGCAGAGTTCTGAAGTACTCAGATGTTTTATTTATAGCAAGCGAAAGTAGCAGTACCAGGGTATAGAAATAGAAGTATTCCAACTGGTACTTAGTGTACAACAGTGTGTGCATCAGGTGTAAAGGTGGAGCTGATGTTAACAACCTTATACTGTGAAGTACATTCCATCTTGGTGGGTAGCTGCTGGATTTCCCACTGGGATCAATAGAGTCTGATGATTCTACTCAGTTTGGTTTGATTCATCTGATTCTGAAAAGGAGCTGAAGTTATCAGATACATGTAGTGCAGTAAAAAGTACACGGTTTGTCTCTGACATGGAGTGAAATCACAGGATGAAGGAGCAGGGCAAAGAAATACTCAGGTAACATACAGGTATAATTGTACTTAAGTACAGTAGTTGAGTAAATGTACTCAGTTACTTTCCAGCACTGAAACTAGAGACAATAGAACAACGACATGCAAGAAAGCAGAGAAATAAATCAGAACAGCACCGCACATCAAAACATAGCTTCCTGACAGTATTCCTCCACACACTGAACAACTGGCTCTCGAATCCTAAACAAAATCTGTGTGTAGAACAAGTTTAATATTTATATTCTGAGAAACTCAGTTTGCCTTAAAAACCAAATTGGCCAGAGACAAAATGAGCCAGCATCAGATTTCACACGAGACAACACGTTGATTTCACTGGGAATACATGAAAACTAGCCAAATATCAACATTAGTAGTTTTTACAGCCATGAGGAGGACATGAATATGAGGAAATGAGGTTTGTGTAACGTGATCCTGATGTTCTTCTTTCATTTGTCTGGCTTCATTCATTCACCTCTTTTCCATCTCGCTCTCTCCCCATCACCCTGTGTCCAGTCTGTAAGGCAGCCAGAGCAGACCTGGTCTTTCTGGTCGATGGTTCCTGGAGTATCGGTGATGACAACTTCCAGAAGATCATCCGTTTCCTGTACAGCACCACTGGAGCTCTGGACCAGATCGGCCCGGGCGGCACGCAGGTACCGGACAGCGGGCTCAGATGCTGTTATACTTTGCTTTCTCTCCTCTCACCTAAACATCCTTTAAAACAGGGAGCTAGTTTTTGAAAGCTTTGCCATCTGTTCTTCTGAACTCCCAGTGCCCCCCCCCTGCCACTCTGTTTGATTGACAGGCGGGCGCAGTGCAGACACCCCTCAGAAATACCAGCGAATGCCCAGAGATGGAGACTTGCACCTTTGCTTTCCTCTGGGAGCTTTGCAAAAGCTGCCATTGCCAGTAATCTGGTGTTTTCCTGAGGCACATGTTGCCCTCATTCTGCAGGTTGGTGACTTGCTGTGCACTGAGGTGGCAGCAGAGACAGAGTGAGAGAAGAGAGCGACAGTGACAGTCCCACGAACGCCGCACCCGCATTTCTGTCATATAATTGGTGGAGGCACATAAACCGGTGCAAACTCCCACAGAGCTCATTAATCCATATTTTTGCATGAATTAAAATGACTTCTATTATTTTTTTTTTAAATAAGCACAAATGAATGCAGAGGGGAACATATTTGATTGTGCTTATACAGCTGCAGCTGAAAACTTCAGTGAAAAAACAAGTTACAGGTTTAATCAGCAGTGAAATCAGTCCCTGATTTTCATTCCACCTGTTTGTTCAGTTTGTTGTTAGTCTAAAGAATGGCACTCAGTTTTCCTATGACCTTTAAGGCGGCGTTGCTTCTTTTGTTTATACAGTGTATAAAAAACTGAGCGAGAATCCAGGTAAAACAACACCACTCACACAACAAGCAGCACAACCTACAGTATTGCTCACAATAATAGCAGTACAATGTGACTAACCAGAATAATCCAGGTTTTTAGTATATTTTTTATTGCTACATGGCAAACAAGTTACCAGTAGGTGCAGTAGATTCTCAGAAAGCAAACAAGACCCAGCATTCATGATATGCACGCTCTTAAGGCTGTGCAATTGGGCAATTAGTTGAAAGGGGTGTGTTAAAAAAATAGCAGTGTGGCATTCAATCAGTGAGGTCATCAATTTTGTGAAATAACAGGTGTGAATCAGGTGGCCCCTATTTAAGGATGAAGCCAGCACTTGTTGAACATGCATTTGAAAGCCTGAGGAAAATGGGTCGTTCAAGACATTGTTCAGAAGAACAGCGTACTTTGATTAAAAAGTTGATTGGAGAGGGGAAAACCTATAAAGAGGTGCAAAAAATTATAGGCTGTTCAGCTAAAATGATCTCCAATGTCTTAAAATGGAGAGCAAAACCAGAGAGACGTGGAAGAAAACGGAAGACAACCATCAAAATGGATCGAAGAATAACCAGAATGGCAAAGGCCCAGCCAATGATCAGCTCCAGGATGATCAAAGACAGTCTGGAGTTACCTGTAAGTACTGTGACAGTTAGAAGACGTCTGTGTGAAGCTAATCTATTTTCAAGAATCCCCCGCAAAGTCCCTCTGTTAAAAAAAAGGCACGTGCAGAAGAGGTTACAATTTGCCAAAGAACACATCAACTGGCCTAAAGAGAAATGGAGGAACATTTTGTGGACTGATGAGAGTAAAATTGTTCTTTTTGGGTCCAAGGGCCACAGACAGTTTGTGAGACGCCCCCCAAACTCTGAATTCAAGCCACAGTACACAGTGAAGACAGTGAAGCATGGTGGTGCAAGCATCATGATATGGGCATGTTTCTCCTACTATGGTGTTGGGCCTATTTATCGCATACCAGGGATCATGGATCAGTTTGCATATGTCAAAATACTTGAAGAGGTCATGTTGCCTTATGCTGAAGAGGACATGCCCTTGAAATGGTTGTTTCAACAAGACAATGACCCCAAACACACTAGTAAACGAGCAAAGTCTTGGTTCCAAACCAACAAAATTAATGTTATGGAGTGGCCAGCCCAATCCCCGGACTTTAATCCAATCGAGAACTTGTGGGGTGATATCAAAAATGCTGTTTCTGAAGCAAAACCAAGAAATGTAAATGAATTGTGGAATGTTGTTAAAGAATCATGGAGTGTAATAACAGCTGAAAGGTGCCACAAGTTGGTTGACTCCATGCCACACAGATGTGAAGCAGTTATAAAAAACTGTGGTCATACAACTAAATATTAGTTTAGTGATTCACAGGATTGCTAAATCCTAGAAACAAAAACGTTTGTACAAAATAGTTTTGTGTTTGTACAGTCAACGGCAGACACTGCTATTTTTTTGAACACACCCCTTTCAACTAATTGCCCAATTGCACAGCCTTAAGAGCGTGCATATCATGAATGCTGGGTCTTGTTTGCTTTCTGAGAATCTACTGCACCTACTGGTAACTTGTTTGCCATGTAGCAATAAAAAATATACTAAAAACCTGGATTATTCTGGTTAGTCACATTGTACTGCTATTATTTTGAACAATACTGTATGAGTGTCACAGCAAAGGGTCTGAATACTTATGACCATGTGATATTTCAGTTTTTCTTTTTTATAAATCAGCAAAAATTACAAAAATTCAGTATTTTTCTGTCAATATGGGGTGCTGTGTGTACATTAATGAGGAAAAAAATGAACTTAAATGATTTTAGCATATGGCTGCAATATAACAAAGAGTGAAAAATTTAAGGGGGTCTGAATACTTTCCGTACCCACTGTATTTTGTGCATGTTTATTATATTTTTCCTTATTTTTATGTTTATTATTAGTCTTTGGTGGTACTTCCTTTTTGTCCTACATTACCGAGACTAATTCTGTGTGAAAACCTCCTCAGCTGAACCTGCTTCTGATTCTGGTTCCAAAACTGAACCTGGAGACTTGGAACAAACACACACACTCACATTTTGTTGGATGAATGACTTAAATGATTGATCAGTCAGTGATTTTAGCACCAAGCAAAGATGATGGTTCCTACCAGCATTTTTCATCCACAGCTGTTCATTTAAACTTGCTAAGTATTTTTAACTGTTCTTGTATTTTGTCCGAGTTCATTTCTGACCTGTTTTGAACTACCTTCACCTTGTCGCCTTCACCTCTAACGTCACCCAAACCCAGCGGAGCCCACAAAAAGCCACTTACCAGGACAAACCCTACCACCGTCGTTGTCACTTCCATACTATCAGCGTTCCCCTGGTGTCTCCCAGGATAAACCCTGCTGCTCTCTGTTCACAGCAGCAGTGCTTTTAAAATCAGCTCTACTTGAGCTGCTTGCCTTTATGTTTTGCTCAAATAAAGGATATTCCTCTGTGGTCTCCCAGGTGGCTGTGGGACCAGTTCACTGATGAAGCAACTGGTTTTTTTATCCTCTGTGTCACTGAGTTGTCATCAGTTTCTGCTTTGTTTTTAGTTTATTCATGTTGTCACCCTTTGCCCTTCTCTGCCAGCTGATCCAGGCTCAGCTCAGTTGCCATGTTCACTGTGAAGCCTTAGCTTGTAGCCAGTGTTTCAGCATTTGAGGGGAAATCTGAATAAAATAAATCTTATTATTGATCAGTGATCGTCCTGTGCTGTCTGACAGGTGGCCATCGTCCAGTTCAGCGACGACGCCCGCACCGAGTTCAAGCTGAACTCGTTCAGCGACAAAGAGCGACTGCTGGATGCCATCAACAGGATTTCCTACAAGGGAGGAAACACCAAGACAGGTGAGTCACACAGCGCAGACAGGCAGCTGGGGAAGACACAAACACAACATAATGAGGAGAACGGATCTTTTGAGACACTGAACGTGGCTGAATCTGTTATCGTCATCGGGTAGAGATTCAGGAAACGTATAAAAGATGTCTCATAAAACCCAAAGTTTCCCCTGAAGGAATCATCTTGAAATCCCAGAACGACACCTGTGTGAGACAAATCATGTGCACACACTCACATCTTCCCAATAAGATGATCAATACTTGTTAAGCAGCAGGTGACTACAAACAGAAAATTAAATCTGTGCATGTAGGTAGTGCATGTGTAACTCAAAGATTACAGTATCTTGCCTGAACATGTCAACGAGCATAAAGTGGATAAAACACACTCGTGTGCATAACAGTGTGTGCATATTTGCATTTCACAGTCTTGTGCAGGCTTAAGTGCAAAGAAGCCTACATTTCTCAAGTATGTTTAGACGTATGAGAGGACGTCTGAGGGGATGCAGTGAGAGGTGCAGTCAATAATCAGTGTTTACAAAGCGGCGCAGCCACCAACTCCCACAGGGACGAGGCTGAAGAGTAAGAGTGCTGCTGGGGAGGAGCTCTCCCTCTGCTAATGTCACAGTGTAAAACACTCATTCTCCTTTCTATCAGGAAGCAGTAGTTTGGGGGTTTCAGAGCACTCAAGTCACCTCCTTCTGCACGCTGCAATAAAGAGTGTCCCAGTGTTCCCACAGGCCTGGAGAGGATTTTCATTACTGGAGCTATTTAAAATGCCTGGTGTGAGTTGGTTCCTTTATTGAGCAGCAGCTCAGTGGTCCCTCCTGTATCACACACCACATGCTGAAGAAAACCCAGTGACACCATCTGCAGATATGACTTTTTTCTTTTCTCCATAAATGTACTACTTATTTTTAAAATTAACTGTCTAATGTAAAATATCAAAAACAAACAGATGTTCCATTTACAATGCTACAAAACAGACATAATCAGCAAATCTCTCCTTCTGAGAGAAGCTGGAACCAGAGAGCCATTTACAATTTTTCTAAATGAGTGACTTAAATGAATGATTCTCAGCGGGGCGGGCGTTCAGACAATGGGCGGGGGGAGCCTGGCAGCAGCAAGTGGGCGTTAGGATACCAGTAAAGGTGGGCACTGATGAAGCAGGTACCCTGAACTGTTTCATGCCTTTGAATTATAATACATGTAAATAAGTAATGCAGATTGTTTTCTGCATGAGTTAATTGTGCATTGATCGGCTAGTTGGCCTAGTGGCAGAATGAAATGTTGGTCTGGAGCCCTGCACTTGCCGCTCCGCTGTTTAAGTCACCATTGTAATGTTTGTGATGTCCTGTGTTGTTGAGCAGGGATTCAGCCAAGTGGAAGAAATGTTCTGCAACATCTGCTTCAAGGAGAGAAATAATTAAAAATGAGCATAATGTCAGAACATGTAGCAAATCATCACAAATGTTATTTTGTTTGAATATATTGATTTGATTGATGGCTTCATCTGTCCAATCAGGTCGAGCTATCCAGCATGTGAAGGAAAACATCTTCACGGTGGAGGGAGGAGTCAGGAAGGGAGTGCCCAACGTCCTCGTGGTCCTCACCGATGGTCGGTCCCAGGATGACGTCAACAAGGTCTCTAAGGAGATGCAGATGGAAGGTCAGAACTGTGCTGTTTGAGGATTTCACATGCAGATTTATAAAAGTCCCAGAGATCCAGGTTTTTATTTCAGGATTTGAACAGAATTTTGTCATAACTGCCTGATGTTTGTTGAAGACATTCTAACCCGCGTCCCTCCTCCGGTTGTTCCCATGTTGTGAACAAAGTTTCTTCCGTCTCTGTCTTCCTGTAAAGGTTACATTGTGTTTGCTATTGGCTTCGCTGATGCCGACTATGGCGAGTTGGTGAGCATCGCCAGTAAACCCAGCGACAGACATGTTTTCTTCGTGGATGATCTGGACGCCTTCAAGAAGATTGAGGAGAAGCTAGTGACCTTTGTGTGCGAAGCTGCCACAGCCAGTGAGTGACTCGAACTTTGTGTTTATGGTTTGTGGCTGATGAAAGATGAGATCACCTTAGTGTTGTGACGTTTCTTTATTCAGCCGTGTTAACATGATTCTGCTGCATTTCAAAGCTGTCTATCAAACGCACCCTGTTGTTTTTCTTTCTCAGCTTGTCCATCCATACCGATGAGAGGCAGCACAACCCCAGGTAAGAGATCAAACATGCTGCTTTACTGCAAACAGTGAGTCATACTGTACTTTCTTTTCAATTATCATTATCTGGAAAACAAAGGAGCAGCAGAGCCAAAGCCCTGTTTATACACCTGCTGTGAACAGTGGGGTTCACACAGTAGATATGAGCAGTCCAGTGGACACAGTATGAGTACTCTGGATACGCTTGAGGACATTCAGAAGCATCCTGTTTGAGGAAACAATGCATTAAATTGCAGAAACGGCAGATTTCATGGAAAGAGAAGCTTATTGCTGCCTCTGAGTGTCCTGGGGGATTTGGACTTCTTTTTTAACCCACTTCACTGTCCACAGCAGTTATCATGACACCATCAACAGATCCCTCTAATCTGATCTGGATGGATTCCCCTGAACAGTTCTACGTGCATGTGAACCGCAAGTTAGTTGCACAGTTTTAATCATAACGTGAAAGCAGAGTTTTGCTTCGGTATTTATTTTTTAAAGTACAGTAGTAATTCCCAAAATCGTGATGCAGAGTTGCAGAGAAAAGATCCAGACAAAGCAGTTGTGTGTTCACATGAGTATTAATGACAACACGCATCACACCGGCAAGCTTTACGGACTTTCGTTGCCATGGAAACAAGTCATAAGCATACAGCTAAAGTTCTAAAAAAGTCAATTTTTGTTTTCTGATCCAAAAGATGATCCATGACTCAAAATCTGTCAGTTTTCTGATCACTCTTACTGATTTTATATGATGATAACAGGCTAACCATCTGTGTTTAGGTTTTCATATGATGGAGCTGTTTGGGCTGGTGGAGGATCAGTACAGCAGCGTCTCTGGCGTTTCCATGGTCCCCGGCACTTTCAACACCTTCTCCTGTTTCCAGCTGCACAGTGACGCTCTGCTGGTGCAGCCAACCAGGTGTGCACATATGTTCATGTTTGAAACTGTCATTTATTTTGCTCTTCACTCTTAGAAAACAGTCCCTTGTATTTGGAATGCTGTATTGCGAGCTGCTCCGTGGATCTCACAGTAGAGGAAAGAGCCGAACCCAGAGCCTGCGCTGTCTGGACTAAACACGTTTAGTATCTTTTACAGTATTTACCTGGGTCTGGTGTTCCCTTTCCTCCAGATACATCCACCCTGAGGGGCTGCCCTCTGACTACACCATCAGCCTGCTGTTCAGACTGCTGCCGGACACGCCAGAGGAGCCCTTTGCCCTCTGGGAGATCCTCAACAAGAACAACGAGCCACTGGTGGGCGTCATCCTGGACAGTGAGTCTGGAAGCTCAGTGTTTCTTTTTATCGTGTTTGCTTTGTTTCTTTAATTACACACCTGTCACAGTCTTGCAGTGAAAGCACAGAATACCGGGGACGCTTCAGGACAAATTCATGTGTTTTACAGATTTCCAATACTTATCACACAGCAAGAAGTGAATCTAAATGGATGGTTTGTCTGTCACTCACCATCTTTAATATCTTGAGGGTTTACTTAGATTTTTTTTATTTTTATTGTGTTTTACATGTAGTTTGTGTGTCTTCCTGCAGACGGAGGAAAGACTCTGACGTTCTTTAATAGTGACTACAAAGGAGAGTTCCAGACAGTAACCTTCGAAGGGCCAGACATCAAGAAACTCTTCTACGGCAGCTTCCATAAGGTCTGAATCGCTCCTGTCGTGTCCCGACTGATTCCTAGATACCAACTGATGGATCCTCTGCCACACTGACCGACATGTTTACAACCAGCTTTTAATTCAGTGTCAGACTGTTTGCCAGCATGTTGCAGCTGACAGATGCAGAGTCAACAGTCTGCGATGTGGAATGGACACATTTTGATAGGCGACACCGTTTTTTTTCCCTTCAGTCACACGTTGTCATCATTAGTATGACACAACCATGATAGGTGTGAGATTGTCCCCAAATAAAAGCCTGTGTGTGGAAAATGCACAGGCCGGTAGTGAGTCACTCTGAGTACTAGAGCATCACGTGAGGAGGCAAGTATATCTCCTCACTGCAGTTAAGAAAATGTAATCCTCCCTCAGAATGGCTGACATCTGTGATGCCATCTCCTTCGTGGAACATAAACAGACTTCAGATTTATATCTGATTTGCTTTGTAACTAGTTAGCTTCACGATAAACTCGTCACCATCTGTTTTAAGTGAATTCAACTTAAATTGTAAGTTTTCCTGCTGCGTTAACACTGTGAGACAGACACGCGGCATGTTTCCTTCCAAACGTGCACCGGGGGCCATCAGCAGTGCATTGGTTCAACTCATCATTTCAGGTGAAAAGACCTCAAGTCAGACGAACTCAGCAACACAGTTGGAGAAATTAATGCAAATATCGTGCTAAATGCGTGGTATAAAGTAAAACTAATTTGACTGCTATCAGTTATAAAGCACCAGAAAAATGTTAGGTGTATTTAAGGCAAAAATGTGTCTTTGCTTTTCAGTTTCATTCATTAAATGTCTGGTTTAATTAAACTGACATAAACGCCACTGTAAATGTAAAGGGGTGTAGTTTGGAGGAAATGAGCTCCTGATGAGAAAGTCCTCCAGCTCTTCAGTCTTTATGATTTTCTTTCTAACTGTTCCACCCTGACAGTGGTTAATAAGTCAGGATTTACACCAGCTGGGGGAGGCGTCACTCTTAGGCTAAAGTATTTTAAGCCTGTGGTCCAATGTAGTGTAGCTCCTGTGCTGCATCTTTGAACAAACTCACAGCTGCTGTGACATTTTCACTAAAGGCTCTAGTTGCACACTGATCACTGGCTTACTTGACTTACTAACTGCTGTTACTGACAGATCAGCTGACCACCTAACTGGCTGGTTGACAAATTCCTACAGGAGCTGACCGCCTCACTCACAGTATTGTCAACCTGGCTTCTTCCATGTTTGCTCCCCTGTCCCTCCCTGAGCGTCTGCCCCTCTAAAACCTTGCCAAGTCGTGCCCTGAGCCTGAACCTGCTGGCAGTCGTGCCGTGTTCGTGTCAGTGCTGAGAGAGTCGCTGACTGATCTGCAGTCGCTTGTGTCTGCTGGCTTGTCAGTGGACTTCATCCTGCTTTCCTTTTTCTGTTCTACTCGTTCTGTGTGTGTGTGTGTGTGTGTGTGTGTGTGTGTGTGTGTGTGTGTGTGTGTGTGTGTGTGTGTGTGTGTGTGTGTGTGTGTGTGTGTGTGTGTGTGTGTGTGTGTGTGTGTGTGTGTCTGCCGTACATAGCAGGCTTGATAATCCCGGAGGCCCGGTGTCGGCAGCGCCTAACTGACATGAAGTTTGTGCAGGTTTATGTGATTATGCCATCCTCATAGAAATGCTAGAGCCTGGTGTTTGTCGACTACCATGCAGACTGAAGGGTCTGTGAGCCAGCAAAGGTTCAGTTTGTCTTTTGTGACACTTATTGTCCATCTTGTTAGATCATCTCAGAATATTCTTGGTTGTTGTGTATCTTTTTTGAAGAGCTGACACCTTGAAAACAAGAGAGTAGGGATGTTCTTTAGCAGTGTTTTTAGATGTCATGCACTCAACAGGGTTTGTGTTACAGTTCTGCAGTGCTAGTGTAGCCGGAGCCCAACTGCAATGTGTACCTAAGTACGGATTTACATAAACACACAGCAGATACAGTAGCTTTACCGCTGACTTTCCTGACATCAAATAAGCCACCGTGACTGCATTTTATTTGAACCTCTCTAGTTGTATTTTTAGTTTAGAGCTTTCAAGCTGCATCCACATTTAGAACAACAAGCTGCGGAAACCAGGCGCTGTTATTTTCACCTAGCGAAGGCTGAATGTGACTCACTGTAAATGTGAAACCTCACTTCACTGCAGACTTCACACATCTTAAAGTAGAAGTCATAAAATCAGTTTTTCTCGAGGTTTGCCATCTCTGTGATTGCAATAATGAACACAAAGGTAAGAGTTTGAGTGTACTATGGAGTGGACACAACTACAACATGGTGAGCACTGTGCAGTGCTTAGGGAGTGACTTACTGTGTCTGTGTTCACCTTTAGGATGAACACTCACCACACCGACGTGTACTTTGTTTCCCTGCTGAATAGGTTCCTGTCAGTCGCCCTGACATTTACAAGAAGCAGCAGCAGCGGACAGAGCAGACACAGTCTACCCCCGCAGCAGACGCTCTGAACACAAAGCCTGCTGGGTCCTCAGCCACAGTACTGCCGCTGCAGCTGATATTAATCACGACTAATAATGATACTGTTACTGTGGCACAGTGCATAAGATTTGCTTTGTCAGACTTTGAGTAAACGTCACTTTCCTCTATCCAGTGGGAGAAATTGCTGCTCGTGATCAAGAGTTGATCATTTCATTATTTTGAGATAACGAAGCTTGTGATAATGAGATAACTTGTCTCTTTATCACAAGAAAACCAAAGGTTAATTTATCACCAGAAAACAGAATTCAAGCCTTTTTACTGTAGTATTAAACATGTTTTTAAATGAGTTTTAATTCATTCAGTTGATCAGTCACCTCGAATCAAATACACAGAGGGATGTAGTGATTGCAGTGCTTTGTGGATTTCATCACCACTTTCACTTTGACTGCTGGAAACAAACAGATTAGACTCAGCTGTGATGTTTGTTCTGATTGTCATCTCGTTATCTGTGTGTTCCTTCGTGATTTTGTTAGCGTCTCTCTTTGTTATGCTGTACCCTTCTGTATGTGATCTGATGTTTGGTGGGTGTCTGTGTAACGTCAGCCTGCAGGGATGGCAGGTTAAAAACTAGCCTTTTGGCTAAATTTCAAACATGGACACCATACCGATGTCGATGCATGTGTGCGGTCCCTGTTGTGTGTTGTGAGATAAAAGAATGCAATAAAGTAAAGTCAGGTCAAGCCATTGTCAGCTGTATTACCTCCAGCTGACAGGGAGAGGGCGCTGTTCTAGCACAGTATGAGGAGCTAAAACCTGGCTCCAGATGCAGTCAGGAGTGAGGCTGAGCCTCCTCGGGGGACATTAGTCTAGAAACACTCGCTCCATCACCCAAAGTGGTTTATTATGTAACTACTTCCTGTGTTCAGACTTTGATGTACTAAAAACAAGTTTAAAGAGATCATGAAGTGACTGAGTGGTGGGTGTTTCTCTCACACAGCTTCACATTGCAATCAGTAAGACGAGCGCCAAAGTTGTGATCGACTGCAAGACGGTGGCAGAGAAAACCATCAATGCAGCTGGAAACATCACCACGGATGGAGTGGAGGTTCTGGGCAGGATGGTCCGCTCCAGAGGCAACACACACACACACACACACACACACACACACACACACATACACGCCATAGTTACATGCTCACAAAGTTACTATGTGTTCACTTGCTGAACATGATCCCTACTAAGAAAAGAAGACATGACTCACATGATCATCCTCCTGGTATTCGTGCTTGTTTATTGTTTCCCCTCTGGTTCTTCTGGTTCAGAAAGCACTCTGGATAAGAGTGCTGGTCTTTGAATGCACCACCAAGGAGAGTTGTACAAACTGGCCCCACTTGTAGCTGTGGGACAGTAATTTAACTGTGAAGAAAAAAGACAAAAGCAACCAAACATTCACTGTGATGGTCACTGATGCCGATCGAGTTCCAAGTCTCTATGAAGTGATTTTCATAGTGTGGGGAAATTAAACAGAAGCCAGTGATGGGGGGCCACCAGGAGCTCCATCACAGATCAGCCTGTAAAGGTTTAATGTGCTGATTTTATCCATCAGAGAAAAAATAACAGCCTCCTCCTGATTTGCTTGATCACACTGATATTTCTAAAAAAACCAACATTGATATGTTCTGTACAACAGTAGCTTAAATTAAAACTCACCGCATTTGATCGTCTGCTGTTGCAGTGGTTTCATCTAAGTTTAAATCTTTTCATCAGAGCGGAGCTGTTCCCTTGAGCAGCTTTATCAAATGCAAACAAATCCATTTCTAGCTACTCTCCCACAGAAGGAGCAGACTGATTGGTTTGATCTCCCAGTGAAGAGAAAACCCTTGACATTGCCTGAAGAATCCCACTCATGTGTCAGATCATGTCACTAGTGCCATTTTGTTAGCATTTCTCCACTGGGCCTGTAACTGAGCAGGTCTGAAGCTGGACACCTGCTTTTACAAGGCCACTGATCCAGCTGCCAGTCCCTGCTTTTTATCCTTCACTACTGATTGTACACCTGTACACGTTTGCAGGTCGGCCTCACAGCACGACAAGGGAAGGTAGAACACGTTTAGCTGCTCTTGAAGGGCAAGCTTCGTTGGCTTCTAGGAGCAGCTGAAGGTGCTTTGCTTTCTACTGTGTTTTCTTTTATATTTCCACAATCCCAAACAAGGTTTAGACTCACCCCACTGTGTTTGAACCCCATGAATCATAGAATGGCCCTAATTTTCTACCTCTGAGTTTATCGTGCCTGGAAAAACCAAAAACACTGAGCTCTGCAATTAGATTCAAAGGAAAGCTCTAAACACAAGCTCATTATTTAACCATCAATAAAATATCTCAGGACATTCAGTGTAGCAGTTAATCATGATTTCGATCATGGCGCGTGGAAAAACTCCCACTCCACGTGCTCCATATCTGCTGTCGCTATACGAGAATGTCACCGTGGATCCCACAGAAAAACCTCCTGTTCAGCCTCAGCCTTGGTATTTTATTTTGTTTAATGTGTATAAAAACATGGCAACATTACAGATGTTGATGTTCAGTCATTTGTCAGTGAAGGAGGCTTCTTATTTAGCCAGGACTTAGTTTAAACCTGTCCCTCTGTGAGTTCAGATGCTTACAGACAGTGGACACAATTATTTTCACATCTAAACTTTTTTCATGTATAAGATGCTGCATCATGCTGTGGACTTTACCAAAAGCAAGAGAAGAGACTTTTCAGTTAATATATTTCTTTTCCATTTCACTGTTTCATTCAAACCTGGTGTTCTGTGGGACGCTGTACATTTCACTGTAAAACATCCTAGCTGTTGTGCAAATGTGCATGTTTGGATAGTTTGTTATTAAAGTGTGCTGTCTGTATTTGCCGCCTCCACAGTTCCAGCTGCAGATCTTTGACATCGTCTGCAGCACGTCGTGGGCCGACAGAGACAAGTGCTGTGAGCTTCCTGGTCTGGTGAGGTCAAAGTTCATCTTCCTCTAAACCATTCTGTATTGCAGGTTACTCCTCTGTCTGTACACAGAAACATGTTGACAGCCTAAGGCTTGTATAAAGGAGCGTGCTGTATCATTGCTGTGACCTGAAGGATCTCACAGTACTATGTATGGTGTATGCACGAGGGTGAGGTTGAAAAACGTCTTAAGGCATTTTACAGGCTGTTTATCCTTTTTAAAGAGTTTTATAAACCTGCCTTCTCCACCCACAGAGAAGTGAAATTGGCCAAACATTGAAGTTTTGTGGTTTATTTGTTTCTAATGTCAGTGGGATTTTCTAGCATTTTAGCATACACATGTTTTCAGTTACTGCTTAATGCATATATGTCAAACTCAGGCCTGCGGGCCAAATCTGGCCCATGGTGTAAGTATTTTTGGTCCGTGAGATAATTTCAGACGTTTATTAGAGCTTGCCGCCAGTATATATCGCATGCACCACTAATACTGCAAATCCCAAAATGCTTTGCTAGTGTGTGGGTCATCAGTCAAGACCCACAAGCACCTTCTGTTGACATTCATTAGCAACCTCATGCTACCAGCCACCTCGGGCAAATTTAATCCACTCCTCCCCCAAAAAATTGGCCATACGAAAGATGGAAAACAGGAGCTTTCAAGACAGGTGGGAGGAAGATGATCTGTTCATTAATGTAAAGGACAGACCTGTTTGTCTTGTGTGCGGAGTCAAAGTGGCTGTAACTAAAGAATATAACATAAGAAGACACTATGAAACGAAACACCAAGACAAGTACAAGGACCTGGACATGAAGCAGAAGCTCCAGAAGGTAGAGGACATGAAAAGAAGTATGGTTTGATTTCTTGTCTTTATAATATTAAGCTTTGCTTGTTCCAAATTCAATGTTAAGCAACTTAAGTTTGTTTCTGTATGAAAAAGGTTATCATTATATATCTGGAGAGAAGGGAAAACATGCTCAATTTTATTCAGTATTTCAATAAATATAGAGTCTGGCCCGCAACTTTGTCCCAGTTTTTAATTTTGGCCCACTGTGTATTTGAGTTTGACACCCCTGGCTTAGTGCGTCATTTCATTATTTTATTCCTGACAACACTTTACTAGTAAGTGATAGTTGGTGTAAATTACAACTCAGAATTCAAAACCATGTTTCAACAGCAGATGCTCATGTGAAGAAGCAAAATTAGCCCAAGATGTAGAAACGGTACAATGAAGCGATGCAGTAGCGTTAATGTAGAAAATGTCTCACGAGGACTGATAAGTCATGTTCCACTTTGTCTGCTTTGTTGTGTCGCATTTCACACACTTTTGTTGCAGTATTTATTTTTGGTTGTGTCATTCTCATGATGCTGTGGTCATGCAGAGGAAGGAGGCAGACTGCCCGGCCCTGCCCAAAGCCTGCACCTGCACCCAGGACAGCAAAGGCCCCCCTGGCCCCGCTGGACCGCCAGTGAGCCACGCACACACTTCACATCAGTCACAGAAGTCCTGCTGGACGCTGCATCTAGAGCTCTATGAATAAAACTACAATACATGTAGTCAGTTCTTCAGGGAGACGTTTGTGCATCAGGAGATCATGAGCCCACCTGCTTCTAGTGCATCAGGCGTTTTTGCAGCAGCAGTTTAGCAACAAGTAGAAAACAACACTATGTCCGTATCCACACACCCAAACACGCACTGTACCACACACTCATGAATGCAGTCACACAGCTCGATAGAGACCCACGGCATCGCAGGCACATCTCACGTTTCAGTTTGAGTTACTTTACTTCATCCACCTCATTGTTCTTTTCACTCTTCAGTTTGACAGAATGAAGCTTAGATTTCTTGTCTGTCAGCTTTGTGTAGAGATCAGCTGTCGATGTCTACAGACAAACACACGCTGTGAATTTCAATGTGTTGCCTGTCTTCCTCTAATCAGCTCCTGCTATGTGTTTGTCCCAGGGAGGCCCAGGAATCAGAGGAGCCAGGGGTGATCGTGGAGAGCCGGGACCGGTGGTAAGTGTCGGTTTATATACTAAACGTACACTGAGGGTGTTGCGTCACATGACGCTGATAGTACGTGCTGAGAGCATGTAAATTCAGTGCAGGATTATGGAAGTCTTTCAGTATTTCATTCTTGGATGTGGCAACGCTTGGCAAATAGGTCAATAATGTATCCTGATGCGGTCCCATACATCAACCCTTGATGATGCATGTCACCGCATCCAGGCGGACTGTTGTCCTACTTGCCCAGCATTGATGGTGTGTTAGACCACACATGCTCCTTAGAGGGACTCTGGTTTGGATTTGGATCAAAATACAATTCAGACCAAAAGTAAAACCAGCCTCAGATCATTTGTGAGTAATGGTGTAAACTAGCCTGTGCACATAGAGGCATTTGTTTACTTGGTCCATTTCATTTCTGGGCCTGTGACACTAGGTACATTTGTCAAGTGGACCTTTAAGACTTGTTTCATGACTGGAGGACAGACTGCCATGAAAATGACTGTGGTGGCTCCCTCATGTCTTATTACTGCCACCATCAGGCCGAATCCTGCAATGGTACAAGAAACTCCAAGGGCACCTTCGTGCACCCCACTGGATCAACCTTTTCAGACACTCTGTGACCTTTGACCTTTCCTCTAGCGTTACCCTAAGACAGTCTGTATGTTTTTAGCTTTGTAGAACACAAGTCAGTGTGTGTGGTTCTTCTATGAACCTTTTGGCCTTTTCTACATTTACATGTTGCACTAAAGAGGAATGCAGTACAGTTCAGTTATGCTTTGTTCGTATTTGCTTTTATTGTGAAGTTTTTATGGAGGGGGGCAGCGAGAACTGTGAGAAAACAGAGGGAGAAACAACGTGCGCTGAGCGTCCTTGGACAGATCTGGTTATATGGCACGTGTCAGACAGGTGGGCTTTGGCCTTAGATCTGTTTCTCACAGATCCACTGTTTGGATCCATTGGTGGTTTGTGCCCACTGCCCTTGTCGACTGATATATGCTGTTAACCCCTCACCCGGCTTTACAGTCACGCCATCCTGCCAGGCCCTGTAGAACGACAACCAGGCCACAAAATGTAAGGGGTCATTGTTTTAACACAACACATGTACTGTAGTTCTTGTGCTTGGAAAGTCCTTAAGTAATTTGTTTGTTGATTTTTTTTCTTTGATTAATTTTTTTTCCATAATGTTTCTACGTTCAGTGACGAGGGCAGCACAGAAGAAGACCACTATGAACGTATTGTACTGTCACATGGCTGAGCGGTATTTTTTTAGTTTTTGACTTCATCCAAATCTTATCTAAAACAGTGGTGATCTGAAATCTCTCACAAGTATGCCGGTGTGTCTCCATTCACCCATTTCCATTTCCATTCCCGTTCCCATGTATTTGGCTTGTCATTTGGGCCATGTGCCTGCAGACCAATCCAGGAATCTTCATCTTTGCTCAGCTCACTGACAAATTTCTGATAATTGATTAAAAAAGCAGATGATTATTTCTCCAGTTTAGTAACATATCAGTATAATTTCTGGGAGGCTTACAGTAAAAGATCATGGTGAACGGCCTTAGGGGTGATTTTAAGTGTCCAGCTACTAATTGTGTCCAATTCCAGTGGAGTGAAAAATACAAGATCATCTTGTGAAATGTTTTGAAGTACAAAGTGTCACATAGTAGATGTACTAAGAGGGTTTTGTTCATCTGCCAGAGGCACTACACGCAGTTCCACATACAGTATAGTTCAGTTCAGGTCACTTTGGGTTCCACATACAGTATAGTTCAGTTCAGTTCACTTTTGGTACCAGGCGCTTTGCTTTTCACTGCAGGTGGTTGCTCTGCATTGTAGCTAGTCGCCATGGCGATTTGATGTTCGAAGATGTGCTGACCCACTAATGTGCCAGCTAACTAACTCGACTCAGCAGGCATAGCTGTAGCCGTGGTGCTCATATTATCAGACTCGGTAACCTGTGGGCTACGTGATACGGTGTGATGGTTTACATATATTACATCTGGCAAGATGGCTGCAACAAATTTCTCTGACCAATCGGTAGTCTGCGGTGTTTACACATCACCATTTGGTATCACCTCAGTTCACTTGACAGAGGTGAGACCAAAAACAGCACCAGGTACCAGGTACTATCCCCAAGATTTGACAGATGAAAAACAAATGAGGCGAGTTGAGTTGAGCTGGTACCAGCCGGTGGAAAATGGGCTTAAAAAATCAGCCCAAAAGTAACAGAGATGCTCATGAACAGACGGACACTCACCTGTTCCTCTTTGCCGGTGATTATCACCAGGTCTGCGCCTCTCTCCTGACACTCTCTCCTGCTCTCTGTCCAGTTTTTCTTCTCAGTAGATTTATAGTAACAACTGCAGCGAAATGCCCTCCATCCTACAAGAGACAACTTGTTGTCAACTGGGTGTTTTAGCCACGGATTTCAAATCATTTAATGACAATGCTGGCTGTTTTTCAGCCTTTCTGACCTGGAACATTCCCCTGTGTCTGGTTTTCTTTCCCCTGTAACTGACAGTAAATCATGCTGATGTTTTCATAAATAGTCTTCAGCCTCGTATGATTAAAGCTGAGCTGATTTTTTTCCGACATGACTGGAATATCTGGAGAAAAAAAATGACCAAAAGAGACCAGAGCGGTGATGTAAAATGAAACCAAGTGATTTAGGTTGTGAGTGACTCAAGAAAAAATAAAGAGGAGGTCCTCACAGAGGGCGGACAGGACAGTAATGCCCACTAACAGCAGCAGACACAGTAGAGCCAGAATCAGTGCGGGAGCTTTGAAATGGTTTCCTTGCACAGCTGGAAGAGTGTGTGCTCCTGCAGAAGCAAAGGGCACAGAGAACACATTTGAATCAGTGTGGTTTAAGAAGATTTTTCTCTTAGTTCAGCTCATCTAAACAGACAAACAAAAATATTTTATGTTTGAAGTGAGAGAGAACTCCCAAACCCAGCTGTCACGCACAACACACGGTTGATCTGTCGGCCAGCAGCTCCTTGTGCAGGAAGAGCTTAATATTACAGGTTGAGCTGAGAGCAAGCCACCTTTATGTGCACTGTGTTAGTTGGTGTGCAGGAAATCTAAGAACACTTCATTATTTGCCCACTATTTTTATGAAGCTTTATGTTTGGTTGTTCGTCCATCCCATTTTTGTGAATGTGATACCTCAGCAACACCTTGGGGGAGTTTCTTCTAATTTGGCACAAATGTCCAATTGGACTCAAGGGTGAACTGATTAGATGTTGGTGGTCAAAGGTCACACTGACCTCACGTCTGTCCCATTCCAGTGAACTGGGACTGGTTGGGGTAGACATACAACCATGAAGCAGTCATTCTGGTTATAATCAAGTAGATTATTTGAGCTCTAGAAAATTACAATGTTCATTTTCCCCTGTTCTCTGACATCATATAGACAAAATGATTAATGACTAATCAAGAAAAGAATTGACAGATTAATGGATAATGAAAATAGAAATCCTTTCACACCAGTATAAGACAGCGCAATGTGAAACAAACTGACACCTCCACAGTTACAATGCCGTGCCTTGTACAGGACTGTGGTGTCACTGAGGTCACAGCTGTCGCATCAGTTTTTCCTGCTGCAGATACGAATAGTTTTGCTTGATTTAGTCACTTTGCCACTGTGAGTACACTACAGCCTCAGAACAGTGTTATATTGAGACCTGTTTGGGACACAGGAGAACACGTGTAGCATACATTCTATTATTACATTCTTATATACGTATTTTTATTATAGCTCTTCATTTGCTGCTTTATAGTGCCTTAGATTTTGTGTTACTTATCTACTTTATATTTCATTTGTATTGTGTGGCATTCATGTGGACGGCAAAGTAAGAATTTCATTGTAAAGGGTAACGCCTTTCCGTGCTGTGCATATGACAAATAAACACTTTGACTTTGACATGTAGGGCTTATGGTATAAAGCCGATGTTACAGCAGCTGGACTTTCAGTACGTACCTCCGTCCTGTGTGGAGAGATCGACATAATGGTCTGTGAAAATGTCAGCACTCTCGTAGATGTCGACCCGTCTCTCCTCTGCATTCTCTTGGACCCCTGCGCTGTATCTCACATTTGTGGCCATATTTGGATCTTCATAAATGTTACAAGACATTTTCACCTAAAACCTCTTGGTGTGTTTTTATATTCAGTTTCCTCCAGACGCTTTGCTAAATCATAAACCAAAGCTTGCACTCTGCTGCTGTCTGTGTTTTCTGACGAGGGTTTTCTGTCTCTCTTTTTCTGTATGCTCAGGCCAGGTGTCAACAGGAAGTGTTACAAAAGTAGCAGCAGGAAAACACACACACAGCCACAGTTTTATCAGCTCACAGGAACAACCTCTTACAGTGCCTTGCGAAAGTATTTGGCCCCCTTGAACTTTGCGACCTTTTGCCACATTTCAGGCTTCAAACATAAAAATATAAAACTATAATTTTTTGTGAAGAATCAACAACAAGTGGGACACAATCATGAAGTGGAACGAAATTTATTGGATATTTCAAACTTTTTTAACAAATAAAAAACTGAAAAATTGGGCGTGCAAAATTATTCAGCCCCTTTACTTTCAGTGCAGCAAACTCTCTCCAGAAGTTCAGTGAGGATCTCTGAATGATCCAATGTTGACCTAAATGACAAAGGATGATAAATAGAATCCACCTGTGTGGAATCAAGTCTCCGTATAAATGCACCTGCACTGTGACAGTCTCACAGGTCCGTTTAAAGCGCAGAGAGCATCATGAAGAACAAGGAACACACCAGGCAGCTCCGAGATACTGTTGTGGAGAAGTTTAAAGCCGGATTTGGATACAAAAAGATTTCCCAAGCTTTAAACATCCCAAGGAGCACTGTGCAAGCGATAATATTGAAATGGAAGGAGTATCAGACCACTGCAAATCTACCAAGACCTGACCGTCCCTCTAAACTTTCAGCTCATACAAGGAGAAGACTGATCAGAGATGCAGCCAAGAGGCCCATGATCACTCTGAATGAACTGCAGAGATCTACAGCTGAGGTGGGAGACGCTGTCCATAGGACAACAATCAGTCGTATACTGCACAAATCTGGCCCTTATGGAAGAGTGGCAAGAAGAAAGCCATTACTTAAAGATATCCATAAAAAGTGTCGTTTAAAGTTTGCCACAAGCCACCTGGGAGACACACCAAACATGTGGAAGAAGGTGCTCTGGTCAGATGAAACCAAAATCAAACTTTTTGGCAACAATGCAAAACGTTATGTTTGGCGTAAAAGCAACACAGCTCATCACCCTGAACACACCATCCCCACTGTCAAACATGGTGGTGGCAGCATCATGGTTTGGGCCTGCTTTTCTTCAGCAGGGACAGGGAAGATGGTTAAAATTGATGGGAAGATGGATGGAGCCAAATACAGGACCATTCTGGAAGGAAACCTGATGGAGTCTGCAAAAGACCTGAGACTGGGACGGAGATTTGTCTTCCAACAAGACAATGATCCAAAACATAAAGCAAAATCTACAATGGAATGGTTCACAAATAAACATATCCAGGTGTTAGAATGGCCAAGTCAAAGTCCAGACCTGAATCCAATCGAGAATCTGTGGAAAGAACTGAAAACTGCTGTTCACAAACGCTCTCCATCCAACCTCACTGAGCTCAAGCTGTTTTGCAAGGAGGAATGGGCAAAAATTTCAGTCTCTCGATGTGCAAAACTGATAGAGACATACCCCAAGCGACTTACAGCTGTAATCGCAGCAAAAGGTGGCGCTACAAAGTATTAACTTAAGGGGGCTGAATAATTTTGCACGCCCAATTTTTCAGTTTTTTATTTGTTAAAAAAGTTTGAAATATCCAATAAATTTCGTTCCACTTCATGATTGTGTCCCACTTGTTGTTGATTCTTCACAAAAAATTACAGTTTTATATCTTTATGTTTGAAGCCTGAAATGTGGCAAAAGGTCGCAAAGTTCAAGGGGGCCGAATACTTTCGCAAGGCACCGTAACTGGAAAAGCTCTAATTTAATTCTTGTTTTTTATTATATTTTGGGTATATAAGGTTTTCATTAAACGTGTGGATTATTTTTTTGGTTTTTTTACATTTCCTGGTGTGTTAATTGTGGTTTGTATGTCAGAGCCCACATCTTCATAGTGTGCAGATGTTTCACTGATAAGGAAATGGTGTTGCTGCTGTAGGTTGGGCTGCAGAGCAGCACCAAGCAAATGTTGAGCTGAAACACAAACTTCGCCCTCATGTCAGAGCACAGATCAAGTAATTTCCTTCCTTTGTAAAGTTCCATCATCATCATCATTTCATTATAGACAACCGCCCTCGCCAGCTTATTTCTGTTAAAGCTGAATTGTGATGAACTGTCCTGTAGCAACTTTGGTCATGATAATATTTAGTTTGTAGCTCTGTCTGTTTCAAAATGAGCGTGACGCTTAAATGAATTGTTTTATTATGAATGCATTAGGTAGAAATTTAATGACTGCAGCAGCAGCCATGCATTTGTCATGTAGCCCACTCCAGCTCTATAGAGATCCTGTTCCAGTGGTTAATTTGATATTAACCCTGCAAATGTAAAAACATGCAAGAAGCTTTCGAAATGGATGCTTTGAATCTGATGGCACAGGCTTCTCTAAGGAGGAGGGCATGTGGTGATGAGTAAATAGTGAAACTACTAGTGATGCTCTGCTTGAGTCAGAAACCTCAGCGTTCCCCTTCACCGGAGCGATGTCAGACGTGGACTGTGCTGCTCTTCGGTTGGTCAGAACTGCACTCACAGGCAGCCTGGTGCTTTCAGGACATCTATAAGTATCTGTGTGATCCCAGGGAGCCTCTCTGCAGCCTCATAAATTCAGCATTTCTGTGTCACATCACACCACATCTGTGAAAGCCAGTGACCCCCCCGGAGTGTCCCACAGCCGGCCACAGTCGCACACTGACATGGCTGCTGAACACACACAGATGTGTTAGCTGTTATTTCTCACATCGAGGCAGATAGGCTCCTCTACTGTGTCTACCAGACTGTCCACTGCCTTTAATTTTATTTCTGGAATAGCCATTGTGTAGGAGCCAGAAGCTGTGTCTAAGGTGCCTGATGCATAGTTTTGACAATCAAATAAGGCCATTGTACAACAAATAAATGTGATGAATCAACCATCTGCTGTGCATGTTGCAACATGAGTTGAAGCAGAGCGGTGATCCACGACTGTTTAAAACTCCTGTTGTGTTGGAACATAAACCTGCTGTAAACTGCAGGTGTTTGAGGTTGGCCAATCATCAGCGAGTTTTCAGGAAGGTTTTCCACATGACCTGTTAAAGCCAGGATCCTCACATCAGGCTGTAAAAGGCTGTAAAAGACCATTTTCTAAAGCAGTTTCTAACAATGTTCTCAAAGGTATTTTATTTATAAGTTTACTATTATGTCTGCCTCCATGACGCTCTGTCTCTGACCCCACTCCAGGGGCCGACTGGTCCAGTAGGTGATACAGGTGTACCAGGACCTCAGGGACCCCCTGGACCACAGGGACCCAGTGGACGCTCCATCATAGGACCCCCGGTGAGATGAACACATGCACACACACACTGTACACTTGTACTTCTGTCATGACCATCAGAACTAAATGTGTAACACTAAACCTAATTCTAACCTGAACCCTGAAGTCTTAATCCTGAGACATAAAAAACACTGTGCGATGTGTACACTGTGCATGTGCAGGGTGCACCGGGAGAGCCAGGACAGAAAGGTGATGCTGGACAACAGGGAACACAGGTAACACCTGCAGACACATACCAGTCTGAGCTACAGATCTGCCCTCACATGCTTGGTCACGTTTTGTTTGGCTGACATTTATGTTTCTGAATCTTTTTATTACCGGGATGTAAATTACTCCAGTGGACATTTGGAAGGAAATCCGTGTCAGGTTTGGAATAAAGGTTAATTTTGCAAAAGATCGATTTCTGTTGATTAGATCTGTTTGTGTTCCAGAGCTTGTGACACTGCAGCGTGTTTGTGCTACAGCACAGTTATTTTACCTTCGAGGAAGTTGTGATGTGTTGAGACGAGTACTTAGATTTCCTTCGATCTCTCCATGTTTGGAGCCCTGGAGCAGGACAAGTGCTGCCTCACGGGAACAAGTGCTTGTTAAAATGTTGTGAGTGACTCGGAGTGAGCGTGACCTGCACCAACCTTCACCCTCCTCTTGGTGTTTCAGGGGGTTCCTGGCAGAGCTGGAGCTCCAGGCCGAGACGGACCCCCAGGATCCAGAGTGAGTCACTGCATACTATTAATAATACTGCAATACTACTGCTGATACTAACACTACAGCTACTGGGAACACTGCAAATACTGATACTGTCCATACAATAAAGCAGTACTAAACTACTACACTTACACAAATACAACTGGTAACACTACTCTCATTAATACGAGGCTTCTTCTTCTGGTAACTGCTACTAAATGTATTATTCTTGCTACTAATACTGTTACTACCACGGCATGTACTAGTGCATCTGATAACACAACAGAATTTCTATCTTTTAGAAATATAACTAGTAGTACTACTTCAATTGCTTTGACTAATAGTACAACACCAAAGACTTTATTAAATCTACTGTCACTTCAACACCACCTGCATTTCTGTCACAACAACTACAAATGCTTTTTTACCTCAGTTACTAGTGCTACTAATAATAATCTACTACTGCAGTAGTAGTGTATACAGTCAGTGCTTCCAACTCACAAACTGGATGTTGTACTCTTCCACAGGGAGAGCCAGGCAACGATGGTCCCCCAGGCAGGCAGGGTTCCCCTGGAACTGTTGTAAGTGATTATGAAATCTTGACACTGGTTATTTGTTATTATGCATGATGGTTTATTTTAAATGGAACTGAAACACTGTCATTTTAAAATTTTGAGTAAAGCCAGAAAACTGGTCTCTGCACCTCCAGCAGACTGTACATGTATCTACTGAACTTTAAAACTGTACTTTCCTGTATGTACTGTAGTAACTGTACCTTTATGTTTAACTTCACTATCCTATTTCTACGTGCTGTGTGTGTGTTTGCACAGCAGCAGTACTGGAGTTCTTTAAATGTGTCAGCACACTTTGCCAATAAGGTCAGCTCTGATTCTTCCTCCTTGTATCTGTGTGCACCTCCTCAGGGGACTCCAGGAGCCCCAGGGGCCCCAGGAAGTACAGGCCCTCCAGGCAAACAGGGGGAACTTGGGCCACCGGTAGGTCTGTCAGTCAGGGAGACATCTCTCCTCATTAACCTTTGTCCTACCTGGTCACAAATTTCCAAGATGTCTGTTAACAATTATGTTGTTGTAAATGCGGTCATATAGTTAGAAAATCTGTGGAAGTCGGCCATTTCAACACTGTGAGAATCACTGAATCGTGTCGTCCTGAAAATCCAGTTGAACTGTGAGATTCACCATCGGGTTGTTGAAGCACTTCTGTCCCCCAAAAATAAAAAACTACCACTGAACAGGAAAAGTGGGAGCTCAGGTGGTGGTGGGGGGTCATCCCAGCTCCACCTGTCTGCATAAGGCATTAACTGATTAGCAGGTTGGCGGCCATATGCAGTGTCTGCGTGTTTGTGTGTGTGTGTGTGTGTGTGTGTGTGTGTGTGTGTGTGTGTGTGTGTGTGCGTGTGCGTGTGCGTGTGCGTGTGTGTAGGGCGTTGTTTGCTGAACATAATAAGACGGCCTTGTTTTCCAGAGGCCTGGAGAGGTTTTGGTTCGAGCCGAGTGTTTTATCCCAACATGTGACCACTCTCTGGCATTTAATCCTGATTAAATGAAATGATCACACACTGTAAATCACATTTCGACTGCACTGCCACAGAAGAAATGAGATTCTGTGGGAGGTGATACAAACCGCTGACAAATTACTTTGAATCATTGGGATAAAATGTTGTTCAGGCTTATAATTACAGACATGTGGGTGGAAAACAAAGAGCCTTCCTTAACTAATTGCCACACTATTGTCTGAATGTACGGCACTGTGTTTTATAAAGATTGTTTTAATGGTCCAAACGTAGTGTTAAAGAAAGGTTTGTTGTTTTAATGAGACTTTTTTGCTGTTTTTTTAAAACCTTTTTGATATCCTAACAAAGGTATACTCCCACTGCATCTTGTAAGTTACAAAGTTACTTGATAAAAAACTGAGCATCTATTTATTTTATTTGATCTTTTCTAGATTTTATATCTGAGATATGTGCCAAGAATTTGACTCTCTCAGCTGAATCTCAGCGCAGAGACGGCTAACAAATTTAGAAAAGATATTGACTTTGATTTGTTGTCAGTCTGATTTTCTGTCTTTGTTGGCTTTTACATGGGAACAGCTGCTCAGAGGAATCATCAGCTGTCTAAACAGCATGTTTTGATTCTGCAGCTTGATTCAGTGCATTGAAAGTTTCCAAGCAGATCCTTCACTTTGTGTGCTTGTAGTTTTTCATCAGGATCAGCTTTACTGGCCACACGAGGAATCTCATGTACGATGCTCTTCTGTAAAGCATTGAGTAGACAAGACAAGGCTGAGAGAACAAGGAAAGGAAAAAAAGTGCAAACAACAAAAAGGAATGTGCATTAGGAAGTCTGTGTTATTCTTTCTCTTTCATCGCTTCCCCTCTGTTGCAGGGGCCTCTTGGAAGCAAGGGCGAGAAAGGTGAACGGGTAAGTGGCTCCGATCGAAGATCTTCTGCCCCTCATGTGGTTTCTCTTTTACTCCGCAGTATGTTGTGATGCCCTGTTAATGGAACATGATCAGAACGAAACCAAAATTATACGAAATCAGTGCTGATCTTTCTGTGAGCTTTAGCTTGTCACAGAGCGCAGTTTTTTCAGCATCTAAAAGAAATGAAAAGAGGACTGAGTAAACGGAAGAACAAGCTGAGGAAAGACACCACGAGCTTAGCGTTTATCTTGAGAAGGTTGATTTCATGTAGGTTGTGGCCAGTGAACAACCTGAATAAAAAGCAGAGTAGGTGCAGACAATGTATTTTGTACCCATTAACTACAGATATGAGCCTGGTTCTCTGCTCCTGCTATTTCTTTGAAAACAACAGTAATCACAGGAGTGACAGATGTAGAAATTGTCCGTGGTGTTGTGTTGACCTTCTGTCTCGGCAAAAATCTAAACTAAAATGAGACATACCACAGAGAAGTACGTTTCTATTTAGCTGATTCATGGGAGACACAGCTGCTGGGTGTCAAACTTTCATGTAAATATCCGGGTCTGAAGAAGACCTTAACTGGCTACTAACCAAAAGCTGCTGAGACGAAGCTGCTGTTTGGAGTTGAAAAGGTCATTGACAGCGAAGCAACAGCGTTCATGATTTTTATTTCCACGAAGAAAACTGGAGAACATTCCACAAAGCTCAGGCTTTCCTTTATCTGAGCTCAGTAACTTCAACAGAGCAAAGAACAAAATGAAATCAGTGTGATTAAACTCTGAAATGAAAAGTTAAAGGGTTTTCTCAGCGTAGTTTAATTTCATGTAGAATCTCAATTGATGACAACAACAGCTGCCGGCAAATGGTTAGTTTAATTTTAGTGTCTTTTCTCAGTCAGGCAGATATGCTTTTGTGTGGATGTTCCATAGCTCATGTAGTGTGTGAGTATAGAAAAACAGGTGGGTTTATTTATTTTTAATGCAGATCTGCAGACAAAGCTGTGTATCAATCACACAATATTTACTGACTGTGTTTCCAGTCTGTGGCACGTTCACACAGGCAGAAATACCAGCGTGTTGACTAAAATAACTCTGCATTAGTGTGTTGTGTGAACTGACAGTGTGCTCACAACATCAGCAGTAGGCAGGAGGAATCACAGCTGGAACCTGATGATGATGATGACGCAGCTCTGGCAGTGGCTCAGAAACCGAACATGTTGAATGAAAAGGAACAATCATGCTCCCTGTTTAAGGATAGTTTATTACGGTCAGAACCAGCAGCTCAACGTCCTCACACACACACGTTGTTGTTAACTGAGGGTTCAAACTGTTCAGTTTGTCTGTTTTGTTCTGATGTCTAGTGTTTGTTGAAGGTTCGATGCAGTATCGGGCCACCTCAGCTACCGCTGAACCACTGTTCAGCATCAGTGCAGGAACTGTGAGAGTCCAAATATAAACAGTGTTTGTGTATCCACAGGGTGACTTGCAGTCGGCAGCCGCGGTTCAGGGCA